AAGATAAGAGCAGATCAGGAATGCTGTGCACCCCATATTTGGCTATTTTGCCAATCATGTCCCAATTCCTATAAATACATAGGTATATACTGTATGTTGTCTTCCACTTGCAATTCACCTTGATTCACTTCTAGCTCACCACTAGCAGTTGATTACTTACTACACACCACAGGCGACTCTTGTATGTTGTTCCTGTTATAAATATTATCGTTCCACTTCCAACCTTCATTTTGATTATTCTTATTCAGTCACCTTTCCCTAGGTTACAAGATAAGAGCAGATCAGGAATGCTGTGCACCCCATATTTGGCTATTTTGCCAATCATGTCCCAATTCCTATAAATACATAGGTATATACTGTATGTTGTCTTCCACTTGCAATTCACCTTGATTCACTTCTAGCTCACCACTAGCAGTTGATTACTTACTACACACCACTGGTGAATCTTGTATGTTGTTCCTGTTATAAATATTATCGTTCCACTTCCAACCTTCATTTTGATTATTCTTATTCAGTCACCTTTCCCTAGGTTACAAGATAAGAGCAGATCAGAATGCTGTGCACCCCATATTTGGCTATTTTTGCCAATCATGTCCCAATTCCTATAAATACATAGGTATATACTGTATGTTGTCTTCCACTTGCAATTCACCTTGATTCACTTCTAGCTCACCACTAGCAGTTGATTACTTACTACACACCACAGGCGAATCTTGTATGTTGTTCCTGTTATAAATATTATCGTTCCACTTCCAACCCTCATTTTGATTATTCTTATTCAGTCACCTTTCCCTAGGTTACAAGATAAGAGCAGATCAGGAATGCTGTGCACCCCATATTTGGCTATTTTGCCAATCATGTCCCAATTCCTATAAATACATAGGTATATACTGTATGTTGTCTTCCACTTGCAATTCACCTTGATTCGCTTCTAGCTCACCACTAGCAGTTGATTACTTACTACACACTACTGGTGAATCTTGTATGTTGTTCCTGTTATAAATATTATCGTTCCACTTCCAACCTTCATTTTGATTATTCTTATTCAGTCACCTTTCCCTAGGTTACAAGATAAGAGCAGATCAGAATGCTGTGCACCCCATATTTGGCTATTTTGCCAATCATGTCCCAATTCCTATAAATACATTGGTATATACTGTATGTTGTCTTCCACTTGCAATTCACCTTGATTCACTTCTAGCTCACCACTAGCAGTTGATTACTTACTACACACCACTGGTGAATCTTGTATGTTGTTCCTGTTATAAATATTATCGTTCCACTTCCAACCTTCATTTTGATTATTCTTATTCAGTCACCTTTCCCTAGGTTACAAGATAAGAGCAGATCAGGAATGCTGTGCACCCCATATTTGGCTATTTTGCCAATCATGTCTCAATTCCTATAAATACATTGGTATATTTGTTGCTTCCCATTTTGCCAGCTCACCACTCATGTTACCCACACCACAGGCCTGTTATAAAACCCTCATTTTGATTATTCTTATTCAGTCACCTTTCCCTAGGTTATATACTGTATATTTGGCTATTTTGTTGTCTTCCTATAAATACATTATATACTGTATGTTGTCTTCCACTTGCAATTCACCTTGATTCGCTTCTAGCTCACCACTAGCAGTTGATTACTTACTACACACTACTGGTGAATCTTGTATGTTGTTCCTGTTATAAATATTATCGTTCCACTTCCAACCTTCATTTTGATTATTCTTATTCAGTCACCTTTCCCTAGGTTACAAGATAAGAGCAGATCAGGAATGCTGTGCACCCCATATTTGGCTATTTTGCCAATCATGTCTCAATTCCTATAAATACATTGGTATATACTGTATGTTGTCTTCCACTTGCAATTCACCTTGATTCACTTCTAGCTCACCACTAGCAGTTGATTACTTACTACACACCACAGGCGACTCTTGTATGTTGTTCCTGTTATAAATATTATCGTTCCACTTCCAACCTCATTTTGATTATTCTTATTCAGTCACCTTTCCCTAGGTTACAAGATAAGAGCAGATCAGGAATGCTGTGCACCCCATATTTGGCTATTTTGCCAATCATGTCCAATTCCTAAAATACATCCTATAAATACATTCTAGGTATATACTTACTACACACTACTGGTGAATCTTGTATGTTGTTCCTGTTATAAATTGTCTTTCCAACCCTCATTTTGATTATTCTTATTCAATTCACCTTCAGAATTCACCCCATCTATTTTGCTCACCACTAGCAGTTGATTGCAATTCTTATTACACCACTAGCAGTTGATTACACAGGCGACTCTTGTATGTTGTTCCTGTTATAAATATTATCGTTCCACTTCCAACCCTCATTTTGATTATTCTTATTCAGTCACCTTTCCCTAGGTTACAAGATAAGAGCAGATCAGGAATGCTGTGCACCCCATATTTGGCTATTTTGCCAATCATGTCCCAATTCCTATAAATACATAGGTATATACTGTATGTTGTCTTCCACTTGCAATTCACCTTGATTCACTTCTAGCTCACCACTAGCAGTTGATTACTTACTACACACCACAGGCGACTCTTGTATGTTGTTCCTGTTATAAATATTATCGTTCCACTTCCAACCTTCATTTTGATTATTCTTATTCAGTCACCTTTCCCTAGGTTACAAGATAAGAGCAGATCAGGAATGCTGTGCACCCCATATTTGGCTATTTTGCCAATCATGTCTCAATTCCTATAAATACATAGGTATATACTGTATGTTGTCTTCCACTTGCAATTCACCTTGATTCACTTCTAGCTCACCACTAGCAGTTGATTACTTACTACACACTACTGGTGAATCTTGTATGTTGTTCCTGTTATAAATATTATCGTTCCACTTCCAACCTTCATTTTGATTATTCTTATTCAGTCACCTTTCCCTAGGTTACAAGATAAGAGCAGATCAGGAATGCTGTGCACCCCATATTTGGCTATTTTGCCAATCATGTCCCAATTCCTATAAATACATAGGTATATACTGTATGTTGTCTTCCACTTGCAATTCACCTTGATTCACTTCTAGCTCACCACTAGCAGTTGATTACTTACTACACACCACAGGCGACTCTTGTATGTTGTTCCTGTTATAAATATTATCGTTCCACTTCCAACCTTCATTTTGATTATTCTTATTCAGTCACCTTTCCTAGGTTACAAGATAAGAGCAGATCAGGAATGCTGTGCACCCCATATTTGGCTATTTTGCCAATCATGTCCCCAATTCCTATAAATACATAATATACTGTATGTTGTCTTCCAGGTATATATTCACTTCTAGCTCACCACTGTTGATTACTTCCACACACCACAGGCGACTCTTGTATGTTGTTCCTGTTATAAATATTATCGATTCCAACCTTCATTTTGATTATTCTTATTCAGCTTTCCCCAGGTTACAAGATAAGCAGTGCTGATTATTTGGCTATTTTGCCAATCATGTCTCAATTCTATAAATACATAGGTATATATACTGTATGTTGTCTTCCACTTGCAATTCACCTTGATTCACTTCTAGCTCACCACTAGCAGTTGATTACTTTGGTGAATCTTGTATGTTGTTCCTGTTATAAATATTATCGTTCCACTTCCAACCTTTATTTTGATTATTCTTATTCAGTCACCTTTCCCTAGGTTACAAGATAAGAGCAGATCAGAATGCTGTGCACCCCATATTTGGCTATTTTGCCAATCATGTCCCAATTCCTATAAATACATAGGTATATACTGTATGTTGTCTTCCACTTGCAATTCACCTTGATTCACTTCTAGCTCACCACTAGCAGTTGATTACTTACTACACACTACTGGTGAATCTTGTATGTTGTTCCTGTTATAAATATTATCGTTCCATTTCCAACCTTCATTTTGATTATTCTTATTCAGTCACCTTTCCTAGGTTACAAGATAAGAGCAGATCAGAATGCTGTGCACCCCATATTTGGCTATTTTGCCAATCATGTCCCAATTCCTATAAATACATAGGTATATACTGTATGTTGTCTTCCACTTGCAATTCACCTTGATTCACTTCTAGCTCACCACTAGCAGTTGATTACTTACTACACACCACAGGCGACTCTTGTATGTTGTTTCAGTTATTTTATCGTTCCATTTCGTTTTGGTTATTCTTATTCAGTAACCTTTTCCTAGGTTATAAATATATTGATGTAGGTAGTGTAGAAGGAATTTCTTTTCATGTTTGCATTTGGAAACTCATTTCAGAACAACTTTCTAAATGTAGACATATATAATTAAAAAGAAAATCTAATGGCTTCACCTCTCCAGTTTGAATGTCTCAATTCTGCTAATTTGAAGTTGTAAGACGAAGTTAATCCATGTAGTAAATTTTAAATCAGTGTTAATCGGCTTTTGACTATTGGTATATTCATTCCATTTTTATTAATCTATTTACTGAGACTCCGTTTTTTTCAATAAAACTTTTAGAAGTAAACTAATAAAATTTTTGTGAAACTTGACACTTTGTTTGAAGTTTATCATTCTTTGATTATAGAATAGAAGCTGAGTTATAGTTGAACAGAGATTTATACGACACTGTTACAATCTCATCAGTCATTGGTGCGATGAAAGAAAAGCCTGACTCTTTGTGTTTTAATCAAAAATTGAATTTCATATTTTGTTTCTGAATCTGTCATTCTCTTTCATCAAGCCAATATTTTATGCAGATCTGTTCTTAGCTCATCTCCTCCAGATTATAATTTGTTTTGTAACGTTCTTTGTTTTGATCTATCATTTTGGTATGTTCAAGAACCTGGAAACACCCTCAAAAAATTTGTTGAATCAAAACCAGAATCAGTGTGATGGAATAGATAATTGAATTGAAATCTGGTGTAAAGTTATACAAAATCAAGGAAACTACTTTAATAACTGAATAATTAGGCTATTAATTCAGATAAATACAAGATTTTGTTAACCTAATATATTGTTTCTCTCTCTCTCATAGAGGTTGCTTTTCTAGCCATGAAGAGTATTATGGACCTGATGGCAGTGTACAGATTATTGCAGACCCTGATCCCCAGCAAATGATGCCAGTTGATCAGGTGCGCACCCCACCCACTGAAAAGAAACTATATAATGACAAGAAAATTTACCAGGTGTTATCACCTTATAATTCTCAGGACAATGCGAATATTGCCAATGGGATTTCAATGTTGAAAAACCTCAAGGTAAGTTTCTTCATATCAGTAGAAATTTAAAACTCTATGTCCGAGATGACATAATGATTGTCAACTCAAATGACACAATTGGGAAACCAGGTTTCAATTCTGATCAAAATCACTTATATCATTTTCCTGCTGAGGCCATTTGTGAAAGGCATGAATCCAACACTACCTGCACTCTGTTACCACTCACAACCACATCTTATAATGATATTTTGTAATGTTCATGCTCATCAACAAGATGGCAGCCATCATATATCTATATACTACTAAAACTGTGTGATTGTTTCCATGTAATCAATACCATTGTGAAAGGCATGAATCCAACTCCCCTGGCACTCTACTAACTCTTACAACTCCGTCATACAATGATAATTTGTAATGTTCATGCTAAACAACAATGTGGCAGCCATCATATATCTATATACTACTAAAACTGTGCAATTGTTTTTATGTAATCAATACCATTGTGAAAGGCATGAATCCAACTCTCCCTGCACTCTACTAACACTTACAACTCTGTCATACAATGATAATTTGTAATGCTCATGCTCAATAATGACATGGCAGCCATCATATATCTGTATACTACTAAAACCATGCGATTGTTTCCTTGAAATTAATACCATTGGGAAAGGCATGAATCCAACTCTCCCTGCACTCTACGTCTTACAATGATATTTTGTGATGGTCATACTCAACAACAAAGTGGCAGATAATGGCTTATTGAGTTGGGCATTTTTCTGATGTTTTCCATGAAAGGAAATTTCAAGCCTGTTCCCCATGATTATTATTGAATAATTTTTTAAATATTCATATAAGAATGCATGAATTTCACTGATTTCTATAAAAAAAAAAATGAAGTCCTATAAAATTAATTTCGGTCACTTTTTAGCATTACTACTGTCTACATACCTTAGTCATTTTCTTGCATATAAGAAAATATAAGTAATCTCTATTGTCGCCAAAATGGTGCCTTGTAGTTAGAGGTATTTAATTAAAATATCTCAAAATTATACCTAACTTAAAGGATGAAATATATATCTGGAGGATTTAAAAGTTAATAATATAATGGGATTTGCAATTTACTTTTCAACTTGACTAAAATGGCACATTCAAGCCAGAGATATTGAAGTAAGGCACCCCTCAAAATTTGCTAAATTAATACCAAAATACCTTTGGGAGATTTGCATCTGAAGGATATTATAGTGGGGTCTGTATTCATGTGAGCTGAAAAGGTGCATTTTTGGTAGAACTATTGAAGTACCTCTTTCACTAACTTGGCTGCATAGGGTGCCTAAAGTTGAACCTGAATGCTGTTCATATTATCTGTGATGATTCTGATAGTCGTAAGCAATAAAAGCCCCTTCTCCCTGAAGCTCTTTAGTATCAAAACCAAGCCTGACATTGATATTCTAGATAGAATGGTACATCTGGATCTGCCAGGTGACCTAAGGATGACGATATGGATACCAAAAGGAACCAAGTTTGCATTCAACTGTGAATTCTTAGGGTCATTCAACACTAATACTCTTGTGAAATGCATAAATTTACTTTCCCCTGAACTCTACCCCATAACTTGTCTGTTGAGGCTGCTTTTATTCACTTAGCATTCATGCCAAGGGGAAAGACATGAATCCATGTCCCTGCACTGTGTCCTATTGCCAGATATCGAATTGTCTGTCCCATGCCTTGATGACTGATCAGTTGGAATTGGGGAATAATTACCAACCTAATGGAATGGAAAATGAGAATTTTTTTTCCCCTGTTGGGTGGAATATACATTTCAAGAATAAATTTGTAATTTGCAGGTGGAATTGGAGCATGCAAAACGGGAACTATGCCAGGAACGCCAGGCAAGACAGGAAGCAGACAAAAATGTCTTAGAGGTAATAAACCATTCTTTTTTTATTGCCACTGATTCAAATTCTCAGAAATCATGCTGTTTTTTTTAAAATAAACTCATGGTGAATTTCTATGTTATAAATAGATTTGTAATTTTTAGAAATTAGTAAAAAATACTTACTGATTAAATGTCTGTAGAAACATTGCTTTTCTGCTATGTATTCAGTCACTAATTTGCAAAGAATGGGAGCTGCTGTGAACTTTTACACAGATCTTCTAAGGTAGATTTTGGTTAACTGGAACATCTGCAAAAATGAATAACTGCTTAGCAGGTACCAATTCTGAGGGAATACGTTCAAATACACATACCATTTATATTGACATATAAGGCGACCTTTTAACCTTAAAAAATCCCTCCCACACATAAAATAGAGTACCATCTTTTACTCCAGGTATAAAATGCGAACCTTAAATCCTGTGGTTTATGGTAAGTTGTTAGCAGGGGAGAATTTTAACATTAGGCTAACTCCTGCTTTTTGGTAACTATCAACACAAATATTTTCTATGCAAAGAACTCGCATTATTATAATAAAAGTATAGTGTAATAAAAGTACTCTTACTTTATATAATATGTGCTATGATTGCATAATAACAATAAAATGCATATTTGTCAAGAATGAAATACTGTAAACAAAAGAACTGCTAGACTTTGGTGCATTAAAAGTGCTTTACCAGTCAGAGTGTTCAGGAAAAAGATTTTTATAGTAATAATTCAAGGAATAGACTGGTAGTCATAGTTTAGCACACTAGCCAGTTTTTGCCGGCATGTGGAGAAGTGCGAGCTCTCGCTTTGCTACTGGGATTATCCACAGTAACATTACTAGAAACCACCTATATATGGTAGTACTTTGTACTTTTCATGCAAGTTCATTTAAAAATACCCCAAACTCACAGGGTGCAAAAAATTACAAGATATAAAAGAAGAGAAAAAAGATGAAAGAAATACTAGTCAAAAATGAATAATAATTGCCAAGGCTTCATCTAAGAAATTCAGACAACTTAAGACTATTACTACTTGGTGGAAAAGCAAGAGAAATAAGATGAAAGAAATACTAGTCAAAAATGAATAATAATTGACAAGGCTTCATTTAAGAAATTCAGACAATTTAAGACTATTACTATTTGGTGGAAAAGCAGGAGAAATAAGATGAAAGAAATACTAGTCAAAAATGAATAATAATAATTGCCAAAGCTTCATCTAAGAAATTCAGACAAATTAAGACTATTACTACTTGGTGGAAAAGCAAGAGAAATAAGATGAAAGAAATACTAGTGAAAAATGAATAATAATTGCCAGGGCTTCATCTAAAAAATTCAGACAACTTAAGACTATTACTACTTGGTGGAAAAGCAAGAAAAATAAAACGGAAATATTTGGTTAATATTTAAGAAATTTGAATATTAGAAATTAACATTTCTTTCTGTTGTAGAAAATGAAGGATTTCTTTTCTCTGATGAATGATGTGCCTTTTTTTATAGCTGACTTTGGAAAATGAAAGATTATTGGTTGAAATTGAGCAGCTGAGAAACAGAAATTCTCTTTTAAATGATGAGAAAGTTTTAGAGGCCATTGAAACTTCATTCAAACAGTTCCATTCCTTTCTTGATGTTCTTCGACAAGCAGGGTAAGTTCTACTGTGTTATAAAGAATGTAACCAAAAAAATATTAAAGTTGGTGACATTTCCTGATGACTTGTTCAGCCTGTTTAAATATTCATGAAACCCATACAGTCTAGAGCAGGGATCAGCAACCTTTTGCTGACTATGTGTCAATTGAGGGTTTTAAAATCATTCAGTGTGCCAACAGCATACATATTTTTATACAAGTTAAGGTCAATATACCTGTTCTACAATATATATATATATATATATATATATATATTTGATGTGTTTGAATAAAAGACAGACCACGTTAAGATATATATATATATATATATATTATATAAAAAAAAGCAGAGGTACAAACCTGAATTTATCCATAGTTTAGATAAATTATTATCACTCAAGGCACATTTAAGATGGCTAAAATTTCAATGTAAGTTTCTTCAAGCATGTATTGACAAACATGTATGTCCGTCCAATATCTTGTTTAGGATAAGGAATGCAAGACTACATTCTGGTTTAAAAATTGAGAAGATATTTATGGAGGATTCAATAAAAGCCTTTTCTAAAAGAATCCTTTTTCTCAATTGTACCTTTAAGAATCAATGGAGAAAGTGTATGTTAAGTCTTTCTTACTTTGATCAAATTCGTTTTCCCCGATTAGTTGGCTATTCAAATGAATGTGGTATTAAAAAATTGTCTACATCTATGCAGACAAAATTAAATTACTTAATTCGTAAATGATTTGGATACAGTGATGAACCTACTGGGGAAGGAATTCTCTTGAATTATTCATCTTATGAGCCTTCCCAGTTCAAGACTCGTATCTTGGCTCATGGTTTGGATTTTTGTATTCTGTTATCGATGCCTGACCATGAGAAAATTTTTTCAGAGTTTGAGGTTTTATATGCACAGGTTTGTAGACTTGTCCCTCACTCTGTTGAATCTCTTAGCGATCTTAAGGCCAAACTCAAGAGTTATGCCCATTCTTTTGCTGGTTCTTCTGTTTCTTCATCAGAGTCCAAATGGGGAGAACAACACCACCAGGTAATTAAAAAAAAATGGAAAAAAAAAATATAACCTGGTTATTACTAAACCTGATAAAGGTGTTGGTGTTGTTCTACTGGACTATTTGGATTATGTTTCTAAGATGGACAATATACTTGGTGATACATCCAAGTTCTTAAAATTAGGTCCAGTTGAGACCCATGATTGTACTGCCTCTATTGAGTCTAAATTTCAAAGGCAACTGTTAAATTGGGTTAAGAGTGGTTTACTCTCCACTGAAATTTCAGAGTTAATTAGACCCACTGGGTCCATTCGTCCCCGTTTGTATGGGTTACCTAAAATCCATAAGGACAGTGTTCCTTTACGACCCATTCTGTCCATGATTGGGTCTTCCCAGCATAAAGTCGCTAGTTGGCTCTCAAAAGTGCTACAACCAGTTTTGTTGCACTTCAGTACTTATTGCATTAAAGATTCCTTCTCCTTTGTGGAAATTAAACATAGTTCTTCTACTGATGGTGGGTTCATGTGTTTGTTTGATATCTGCTCCTTGTTTACCTGTGTTCTCCTGTCTGAGACTATTGAGATGTGTTGCAATATGTTGTATCGTACCTCTTTGTCTCCTCTGGATTTTCCTGAGGATATGTTCGTGGATCTTATGATGTTCGCCACTGTGTCTGCTGAATTTAGTTTTAATAATGGTATGTATCGGCAGATTGATGGGGTAGCTATGGGTTTGCCTCTGGGTCCAGCATTGGCAGATATTTTTGTCTGGTTTCATGAGGCTTCCTTGTATTAGTCGTCCTCTTATGTATCATCATTATGTGGACGATACCTTCTGCCTCTTTAATAATGAGGCTGAAGCCGACAAGTTTCTCACCAAATTAAACTCTGTCCATCCTGCTCTTAAGTTCATCATAGAAAAGGAATCCATTTCTTGTCTTTCCTTTTTGGATGTTCTTGTTCATAAGATCAGTGACAAGTTTGTGACTTCTGTATTTAGGAAGGCTACTTTCTCTGGACTTTATATGTGTTGTGACTCTTTTTGTCCCATACAGCAAAAGGTGAATTTGATTAAGGCCTTAATTCATAGGGCACTTAAAATATGTTCTAATGGCCTTCTCTGTGGTGAAATTGAGTTAGGATGACACTTTCAAAAAACGGATATCCTATGGATGGTTTAGACTCCGTGTTATCCATGATGTCATTAGTAAATATAGGCATAGGGTTAAGCCGCATTTTGTTGATAAAATCCCAGTTTATCTGTGTCTTCCCTATAATGGTACGGAGGGTGAGAGTTTATCTAGACGAATTTCATGTATGATCAATAGCTGTTATTTTTTGGCAAATGTTAGGGTAATATTTGTTACCCATCCTGTTTTCTCTTCCGTCCATAAGGACATCCCCTCCCATCATGTTAATTCAGTGATTTATCAATATAAATGTAGTTGTGGACTCGACTACATAGGGAGGACATTTCCAACATTTGGATTCAAGAATAAAACAGCACTTACTCTCCAGAATTTTGAATCTGGCTGCCATGAAGTGACAACTAACCAATAGTTCTGGCTCTGCTATTTTTGAGCATATAATAAATAGCAGGAAATGTGTGGTTAATTTTAGTGTGGACCGTTTTTTGATTTTATCTAGGTCCTACATTTCACCTCAAGGTTCTAGAGTCCTTGTATACCAGATCCCGTGGGCCTTCCCTTTGTGGACTGAGTCTGAATATTATTGGACTCTAGTTTCTTGAAATTCATATTTTTTTTTTAATTTTCATTCCATTTGTTAATTTAATTTACATGCTATTATATTGTTATTCCCAGAAAAATAAACTTGATAAGTTCTGGGACAAAACCAGTTGTTTTTTTTTTGTTCTTTTTTTTAGCTTTTTAAAAAATGCCTTATAAATTTTGCCTTTTCCAAGCTATTTTATATAGTAATATATAGTATGAATAATTTAGTATATATTAAAATTGAAACAGCTAAATATCTTCTTTGCTTTGTAGTAGTTATTGGTTTGGACTTTGTGATGTCATTTGCAGCTGCATGCCATTAGAAATTCCTTGGCGTGCCGTGTGTGGCACACATGCCGTAGGTTGACAATTCTTGGTCTAAAGCAAATGTTTTAGGGACATCATGTCAAAGGTATTAAAAATTGTGATTTGAGTTCTCATTAAAACTGTAAATAAAGGTATATTATTGCCATAAAAAACAGACATATTCAGTAAAATGTGAGGCAGACATGAATGAAAAGGAGTATTATCACTACACGCAACAGTTTGAAAAAGGAAAGGGACACGAGAAAAATGAAAAGGCTAACCGTTTCTCTCTTCAGTGCTTAATTTGGTGTCTTTCTGATGCTAACTTCCATAAGAGCAACTCCTGCCTTCTTGGTTGGTTTTGTTTAGCTGAATATCAACCCCTACGGATTATTTAATGACAAAATCTAAATATTTTGAACACAGTTTTATGTACATTATTTACATTATTCAGACTATTGTCCTCATCTTTGTCGCCATATTTATTACAACGTTTTGGACGTTGTATGCTCTGGCCTTCTTCAGGTGCTTGGGATGTCAAACTGAACCCTTTATTTCTCTCACTGGGGTAGACTGTTCTAGTTCCACGTGCCATGTTTAATGGATGTCAGTTATCAGTTATCTCCTGTTAATTTTCCCTCTGAAAGTTCTCCACTGCCTTAACCGGGTATTGAACTGTAGACAGATACAGTTGTATGGTTTCAAATAAATATATTTTGAACCTACTTGTATGCCTTCGACTACAGATAAAATTTATTGTTGATCATTTTGCTATAAAATGTATTGTTGGTCATTTTGCTATAAAATGTATTGTTGGTCATTTTTACTATAAAAATGTATTTTTAAATTTTCATAGCATTTTGTTTTTGTTTGGGGTTTCACTATTTGCCTATAGCTGGGACCCTAACAGGTGCTACCACCCCAGGTGAGGGTGGACCTGTGAACAACAGCAACTAAGAGGTGGTTCCATGCACTTCAAAACCTCCAATATCCCAATCAGAGGTCTTGCTGCCAGATGAAGTTTATCGTCATATCCAGGACTAACCTTCTTGGTCTCATGTTTTCCACTGACATGAAGTGGAAGGATTATATTGAATCAATCGCTAATTCTGCTGCCAGGAAAGTTGGTTTACTATGTTGTGCTCAACAGTTTTTCTCGACAGAATCTGTCTTGCACATTTATAAGTTTACCATTCATCCATGCATTGAATATTGGCGCCACACCTGGTCTGGTGCTTCTGCTATGTATCTAGAGATTCTTGACAAAAGAATCTGCAATGTTATCAGTCCTGACCTGGTATTTTGGTTTCAGTCACTTTCCCATCACCATAACATAGTTTCCCTTTGCCTCTTTGATAAATATTTTCATGGTAATTGTTCGGATGAGCTTTTTCTGTTGATACCTTAACTTCATGAATTCAAGTGCAGTACTAGATTGGCAATTAGGTCTCGTAATTTCAATTGAAATTGTTACTTGTAACCATAAGTTCTATACTAATAGTTTCTGCACTGCACTTCTTGCTTGTGAAACTTTTGTCTGCCTTCTTGTCAAGTATGATCTTCAGAAATTTAAATGCAGTGTCGATCATCATCTTCTGATTTCTCTTGAATCTTGTTCTTTTATTGTCCTTTCTGTTTCTTCCATTCTCAATGATTTAAAATATATATCTATATATACATACATACACACACACACACACACACACACATATATATATATATATATATATATATAAATATAAAAGTGAACATTGAAGTCAACATTCAGATGTGACAGGCTATTTCATGCTAGGCACAATTGTCAGTCCAACCTCATATCTGTCAGTCTATTTATATGCATGTATCTATTCATATTTATGTATGTATGTATGTATCTATCTATCTATCTATATATATATAGCTAGATAGATAGATACATACATACATACATACATATAAATATGAATAGATACATGCATATATATATACAAAATTGTCTACTCAAAGTTTCATGCAATGGCAATGGTAATTGCATGAAACTCTGAGTAGTGGATTTTGTATTATTATATTTAGGCTCTGTCAGTTTTGGCATTTGAGCCTTCTGTTTATTTAGTATTTTAAACTTTAGCTTTTATTGTTACTAATTGTGTGTGTGTGTATATATATATATATATATATATATATGTGTGTGTGTGTGTGTGTGTGTATCCTGTCTTGATTGTGTCACTACACTCATTTCAATTCTCTTGGTCAAGACTTGTATTGAGTGAACTACAGTATAATAATAAATACATAGATAAATTTTGCCTGCTTTAAGTAAAGGAGATGGTAAGAATTGATTGGTTTACACAGAAAATTCCTCAACATCATCTTTGCACTGCAGAAAAGGTCACAGTGTTGAACTCTGTACTCACCTGACTTATGCACCTTTTATTCTGTTGCTATACTTTATTCCTTGAAAAAAGAAATGATTTTCCTCTTTTCTCATGAAATACAGTTCTGATTAGGGCTGAAGAATAGATCAGCTAAAACGTGTTACCAGCATCAAGTATACTGTTGTATAAGAGTAAGTGTCATTGCCAATACTGTGGTTTGTTATTAAATTGCCAGTGAGTAACACGGGTGATTCCATTATTAAGTAGATCACATGATCATAAAGGAAGTGAATAAATAGGAAGTAGCGTGATGAATATATGATCACTGTTCACTCTATCCACTATTGCTATATCTTTACTTTCTCTACTCTACTACTATAAGGATTACGATTCTCTTCTATTATACTATTTGGCAATTACTACTTGAACAAGTGTTACTAGTGTGAATATTATTAGAAGGCATTACTACTAGTACCAGTGTCTACGAAGTCTCGAATATAACAAGCATTTTTGGAAGTGATAACAAGCTTTTGCTTGACATAGCAAAAGTGACAAACAAAGCCATCCAACATCACAAAATATACAAAGAAAGGGTTCACTTGTTTAAATAATATATTAAGACTATTAAATGCATGCCTTCATAAATACAAGGGTGGATCAATAATTCCATAGCCTGACTCGTTATTAGTTGAAATTTTACTGTACACTATTTGAACTATGTGGCTAATAATCTGTATTGAATAAAGCACATTAACAACAGAGATTATGCTGAAAAATTAATGTTTTTATGTAAAATAAATGCTTTTCCTTTTTCTCATTAAACTTAGGGATATGTGAGTCATGTAATTGATTGCGATTTAGAATGATGAATTGGAAAGCTGAGTTTGAATTCTGTTCGAGTTTATTATAATCACACTTATGTGCAAATACACTTGAGAAATATATGAATCCATCTTGTCTCCTCCCCTAATGGTTAAATGGTAGAAATTGTATTTGAAAAAATTATTATCTCAAAAAAAATTAATATTCAAAAAACAAAAAAAAGAAAGAATTATTCTTACAGTTCCCAAAATAAATTTTAACTTTAAATAACCTACAAAGGTTGATAAGCTGTAAAAAATCAATCAACATCATTATACTTATTGATATTTCTAGTTATATTAGTTACATCTGATAAGAATACAAAACTAAATTTTTCATAGGCAAAATAATTGTTTATTCACTTCTAAACTCTTGTCAAATTAATATCAGCTGAATCAAAGGAATGTGGTTTCGGGTCTCTCATTGAATGTTCAATCTTCTTGATATGAGGAAATCAACCTCCTCTCCTAGATCAGGCATTAATATAACTGCTCATTCATTTGTCTGGTGTATCTGTATCCTAAATTCATCTGGGTTCACTTCTCTACTTATGTTGATGCCAAAATGGTTTCTGAGTTGGAGGATTTGCGCATCCTCCCAGTTAATGAATTAACCTTTTGAAAATAAATATTTAACATTTTTCAGCCAATGGGTCATGTTTCTGCCAACAATAAAAACACTTTGTGATCCCTTTGAAGAATATTTAACTAAAGTCTCTAGATGGGCAAAATGAGTAAGAAGAGATGCATACAAACAGCAGAAGTTTACGATGCGCATGATTTCAAAGAGATTCCCTTACTCATTCACCCATTTTCCTCACCAATGTCACTGCTACATGACACATACAATCTTCCCCACCAAGCTACATGACATTTACACTCTCCCTCACCAATCTACGTGACATGTACACTTTTCCTTACCACGCTATCTGACATTTACATTTTTCCTCACCAAGCTATGTGACATTTAAATTCTCCCTCACCAAGCAACATACAATTACACTCTTCATCACCAAACTACATGACAAATACACTCATCCTCACTAAGCTATGTGACATTTTCACTTTTCCTCACCAAGCTATGTGACAATGACACTCTTCCTCATAATGCTACATGACATTTACACTCTTCCTCACCAAGCTACATGGCACTTAAACTTTCCTTCTCACTTTCTCCCTTGCCTCCTTTTTCACACATACACACGAAGAAATCACATTACTTTCATCTGAACAAACAACTACAAACAAGAACATTAATGCTCATATTAGTTGAGAAAAATCAAGTTCTAAAAACCCCAAAATAAAAATATTTTATATTTTTATATTTAAAAATCTTTCTCGTCTTTTTCTTTGTTGTGGGTTGATTCAAATCTGCAACACACTCACTGCCCTCCCCCATAAATCTCATGTCTCTAGTTTTAAGTTTGTTTAATCTACAAATGTTTAGGAGCAAGAAATTGTCAAATGATTGAAAATCTTAAATCCCATTTTGGAAAATAAAGAAAAGAATTCATGTTTGCTTCTTTTTACAGGTTGGGGGAACTGATCCGTGTTGCTGGATTGGATGAAAAAAGTTTGTTAAACCCACCAGAAATACCATCCCACAGTCAAAGAAAGACTCAACTTTCTGATGTTCACAACAGAAGATCTCCTTTTAGCAAATCTCCATTTGCAGATGATGTTACTCTAACCGACTTCAGGAATCAGGACAAAATGGAAAGAGAGGGCTATGCTTATAGCTTTCCTTTAAGCTACGGACATCAAGATAATATTGTATCATCTTCAGATATTAAGAAAATGACAGGCGGTCAAAAGAGGTCAGTTTACTCAATTTTTCTGAACTTTGTCAGTTACGAGAAATACAAAATATGTCAGCAGGAATGCCATGTCCCTTCAGGATCTAGATGATCATGGCTCTCCACACATTCCCTTTCCTTTATTATCTCTGAATTGCAATGTATTCTTAGGTAAGATTATGTAATTGTATTTTTATTGCCTTCTCCAAGGTTCATTCATGGTTTTCCTTCTCTTTGACTGGTTACCACTTAAGTCAAGAGACCCTAGTTTACCTTACTATACAACTCATAGCTAGCAATGATGGACATATTAGTAGATAATAAAATCTCTTGAATACTCACAGATTTTACAAGTACATGACTAAACTCCCAGGAGAAAAGAGTTTTTTTATCTTTTTAGTTTTTAAATCAATTTCCTTAATCCATCCTGGGTATGATGATAAACTACATCTGCGTCCTAGGTAAGACGATAAACTACGTCCAGCAGCAAGGCCTCTGATCAGGAGGTTTTGAGGAGTGTGGAACCACCTCTTAATTGCTGGTGTTCCCAGGTCCACTCTAATTCAGGGTGGTAGCACCAGTTAGGGTCCCAGCTATGGGCAAATAGTTAGCCCCAAAACTGGGATAAAAACACTATGAAAGGGCAAAAGTAGGTTTTAATACCAGAAATACTTTGTAAAAAAATTATTACCAGCAATAAATTTTAGAAGGAAAAAAAAAATATTACCAACAATGTTTTTGAAGAAAAAATATTACCAGCTATACATTTTTGGGGAAAAAATATTACCAGCAATACTTTTTTGAAAAAAAATTATTACCAGCAATACATTTTTGAAGGAAAATATTACCAGAAATAGATTTTTGACAAAACAAAATATTACCAGCAATAAAAACTTTTAGTCATTAAATAACCCATTGAGGTTGATATGCTGTAAACCAAACCAAACTTCTTAATATTTTACTCTTTGCTAAAGACACTGGAAAAATGGTTGGTTTGTTTCATTGCTCCTGGAAGTATTTGACTCCTTCTGCCATGCTTTATCATTACAAGAGTCAGAAAAAAAATGGAGTATTGCTGTCATATACGGCCTGGAGCTGTTCAATCTAGCCTTGATAATTCAAAATTGTTCATGCAGTCTTGTGGGGGAAGACTTATTCTCCAATCTGCAGCCTCTTTCCCAAAGAATCAACATTGCAAGCCTATCACTACTCTATTTCCATGGCAAATGTTTAGATGAGCTCCATTCTTTAGTTCCACCAGTTCAGTCCTTTACAGCCACGACATTGGAACAGTCTTTTGCTAAGAAGACTTATTCTCCAATCTGCAGCCTCTTTCCCAAAGAATCAACATTGCAAGCCTATCACTACTCTATTTCCATGGCAAATGTTTAGATGAGCTCCATTCTTTAGTTCCACCAGTTCAGTCCTTTACAGCCACGACATTGGAACAGTCTTTTGCTAAGAAGACTTATTCTCCAATCTGCAGCCTCTTTCCCAAAGAAGCAACATTGCAAGCCTATCACTACTCTATTTCCATGGCAAATGTTTAGATGAGCTCCATTCTTTAGTTCCACCAGTTCAGTCCTTTACAACCAGGACATTTAAACAGTCTTTTGCTTAGAAGACTTATTCTCCAATCTGCAGCCTCTTTCCCAAAGAAGCAACATTGCAAGCCTATCACTACTCTATTTCCATGGCAAATGTTTAGATGAACTCCATTCTTTAGTACCACCAGTTCAGACCTTTACAGCCAGGACATTTAAACAGTCTTTTAGTAAAAGACTTATTCTCCAATCTGCAAAAAAGAAGCAACATTGCAAGCCTATCACTACTCTATTTCCATGGCAAATGTTTAGATGAGCTCCATTCTTTAGTTCCACCAGTTCAGACCTTTACAGCCAGGACAATGGAACAGTCTTTTGCTAAGAAGACTTATTCTCCAATCTGCAGCCTCTTTCCCAAAGAAGCAACATTGCAAGCCTATCACTACTCTATTTCCATGGCAAATATTTAGATGAACTCCATTTTTTAGTTCCACAAGTTCAGACCTTTACAGCCAGGATATTTAAACAGTCTTTTGCTTAGAAGACTTATTCTCCAATCTGCAGCCTCTTTCCCAAAGAAGCAACATTGCAAGCCTATCACTACTTATGGCAAATGTTTAGATGAGCTCCATTCTTTAGTTCCACCAGTTCAGTCCTTTACAGCCACGACATTGGAACAGTCTTTTTGCTAAGAAGACTTATTCTCCAATCTGCAGCCTCTTTCCCAAAGAAGCAACATTGCAAGCCTATCACTACTCTATTTCCATGGCAAATGTTTAGATGACCTCCATTCTTTAGTTCCACCAGTTCTGTCCTTTACAACCATGACATTTAAACAGTCTTTTGCTAAGAAGACTTATTCTCCAATCTGCAGCCTCTTTCCCAAAGAAGCAACATTGCAAGCCTATCACTACTCTATTTCCATGGCAAATGTTTAGATAACCTCCATTCTTTAGTTCCACCAGGTCAGACCTTTACAGCCAGGACATTGGAACAGTCTTTTGCTAAGAAGACTTATTCTCCAATCTGCAGCCTCTTTCCCAAAGAAGCAACATTGCAAGCCTATCACTACTCTATTTCCATGGCAAATGTTTAGATGAGCTCCATTCTTTAGTTCCACCAGGTCAGACCTTTACAGCCAGGACATTGGAACAGTCTTTTGCTAAGAAGACTTATTCTCCAATCTGCAGCCTCTTTCCCAAAGAAGCAACATTGCAAGCCTATCACTACTCTATTTCCATGGCAAATGTTTAGATGACCTCCATTCTTTAGTTCCACCAGTTCTGTCTTTTACAACCAGGACATTTAAACAGTCTTTTGCTAAGAAGACTTATTCTCCAATCTGCAGCCTCTTTCCCAAAGAAGCAACATTGCAAGCCTATCACTACTCTATTTCCATGGCAAATGTTTAGATGAGCTCTATTCTTTAGTTCCACCAGTTCAGACCTTTACAGCTGGGACTTGCTATTCTACTACCACAGAGTTGAAACACCCTCAATTCCTCTGTATTCCAATTGTGAGAAGGAAGTTCTGCTCAAAAAGCCTTTTCCTAAAAACTGCCACTTTGTCGAACAGACTACCACATAGTTTCTTCCCTGAAAACCATATTCTTAACCACTTCAAGTCAAAGGTCAAGCATTATTACCTGTCGCCTTTATTTTCATAATCTTCATTTCCTATCATCTTCTTTTCCATTCACATCACATACCTCATTTATTATAGCCATTTTAACAGTAAACCTCTATTTTGAGTGCTCTCGAGTTATACATTGCATGAATTTTAGTATTAAAAAAATAGAACCTTAAAAGCAGTGGTCTTCAGCTGCATACTCTACCATAGATTTAATAATTTTTTATACATTTATTAATTTGGCAGACCTATTCTCTTAACAATGCTTGTCTTAGCTCTTTACCCCTAACAAGCCTGTCTTTTTGATTTTCAATACTCAATATGCAGATCAACTTCTAAGACAAATTTTAGGTAAAAAATGATTTTTTTTTCTCCTCCTGCTAGAAATAATTTATTAATTCATAATATGATACAGGGTAAGTGAGAATGTTATGGAGTAGGTATAAAGTCAGTGGGTTCTAATAATAATTATATATATATATATATATATAGCCTCTATCTACCAGGCTCAGTATGTCACCAGTACTAAAAATAGATAACTCCAAAAATTTGTTATTTCATTATAAATGGAAGTGCTTCAGTGAACCAAAGTTGGGATCTTAATTTGTAATTTCAAGAACTTATCATTTGGGTTTGTAAATAACTTCACTTTGAAAGCACACACTCTACGGTACTTACATCTTTATTAAAAATAGAAAAAAAAAAAAAAAACTTTTATCAAATGTTCTGTTATATAAGATTTTTAATTTGCTTGTCATTTTTTTTCTCTTTCTTTTTTAACACTTTCACTGCTGTGTCACCTTGGCATTGTTGCTTGACTATTTTTTTAATAAGAAAATTCCATTTACAAGAAGTAAATGACTATAAAGACATTGACGGTGATTTCTCATGTACATTGTCGTTTTGGTTTCAGTCAAATACTTTGCAGTGTAAACTAAGCTAAACAACACCCCTCCCCCAACACACAATGAAATTACGTCATAAGACAGGCCACTACTATATGCTGATATGGAAGTAGCACTAAGAGCTAGTTAGTTTATAATGCAAAGACCCTACTAGGTATCAATATTTCACAGTATCTTGGCAACATATATAAACAATGACAACAGCTTAGTGTAAGTTTTGAAAAGATGCAGATCTTTTCAAATGTGTGTGTATATATATATATATATATATATATATATATATTATAAATTAACTGATTTAAAATATGTTTTTTTTTTGCTACACAGTAATAACTATGTTTCAAAAACTGAAGCTAAAAACTTCAAATTTAATTATATAATTAAATTAAAAGCATTAGTTCTGTTTCATCTTCATGCGAAATAAAAATAAAAAATATCAATAAGAACACCGGATTATATATCTTACTGTTCTTTCTTTTTATTTATATTATAATAAAAAGAAAGAACAGTAAGATATATAATCCGGTGTTCTTATTGATATTTTTATTTTTACAAAACAGTGCTCAATGTAAATTTACAGAGCCTAAATATTATAAATTAACTGATTTAAAATATAGTTTCTTCGCTACACAGGAATTACCATGTTTCAAAAGCTTAAAACTTCAAATTTAATTATATAATTAAATTTGAAGTTTTTAGCTTCAGTTTTTAAAACATGGTAATTCCTGTGTAGCGAAGAACCCATATTTTAAATCAGATAATTTATAATATATGCCAACAGCAGGCAATGTAGGTTTTTCAAAGATGTGTAAGTATATCTGCAGCAGCAGAAGTATTAATAATTTTTTTTCTATTTTGTTTTCCAGTTTTCTTTGTGAGCTGACCTCAAAGAGTCCTGGAAATATGCCTGAAAATTCTAAAGATCTGAATTCTACATTTGGCATTGATGAACAGATAACAGAATATGGTGTTCTTGGGGGCATCAACACTAGTCAACAGGAACCCAAAAATAGTGATGATCTTTTAACTCGCTTTGACCAGAAAGATCTCCAGACATCTTTTCACTTATGGGAGAAGAGCAAGACTCTAGTTAATGGCAGCATCCTCACTAAACCAGCTGACCCAAATACTAAAACCTTGATGTCTTCTCCTTCAAGTCCAAAGTCTGTGAATGCTAATTATTGGTTGGAAGGTAGTTTTAACAGAGCCAAAATTACTGAGGATATTTTGAAAAAGACCTGTTTGAAACAAGATGAAGAATCTGATCCCAGAGTCTGTGAGGCCAAAGTGGCGAAAGCAGGAATGGTTAGTGGAAGAACTAATATGCAGGAAGAAAGGGTAGAAGACAAAGAAAATTGGAGCAAAAATGGTAACGTTGAAAAAGTTGCCAAACTCTCTGTTCTTCAGAACAAAGATTCAGCAGAAAGGATGGAGAAAAAAGAAATGTTTGCAGATTCTGAAGTAACTAATTTAAATAAGGTAGAACCTGAAAATAAATCTGGAAGTGTTTCTGCAGTAGAAATGATGGAAGTCAGAGATCTCGCAGAAAATTTGGCAAGTCATGAATGGGCATCAGATCGTTCTTTGAACACCAGGGAGAATACAGAAGGACCAAAGTCTCTAAGTCTCAGAACTGAAGCTACTGAAATTAAAAATGGAATGCAACATCTTTCCAAAAAAGATGAAGATATTTCTGGAAGTCAGGAAATGTCTTTCAGTAATAAAGAAAAACCTGAAGAGGTTTTGAGTGGCCAATTGAAGAATATTCCAGTATTAGCCGATTCCAACGAGTCCAAAGTAACAAGCGATACTGATGATTCTTTTAGCCTCGGCACTCTTGATCTGCCACAGGTTAGCAATCAATGTGACACTCCGGCTCACAGCAGCACCGTCAAATTAGATTCAATCCCTGGATTAGATGACATGAATTCACAAGATACGTCTCCTTTTAAATCAATGAGTGATGAAGACTTTTAAATCTTACTTCTTAAATATATCTGCTTCAAAAAAATCCGTCCCCTTTTGTGTTTACAGGTTCCCCCCAATGTTTGTCTTATATCATTTTGCTTGCCTTTTACAAGACGGATATTAATACCCTTTTTTTATTTGGCTAGCAGTAAAAGATACAAATATAATTCTTTCATAAAAGTCTGATACCATAAAGTGGGCTTTTGTTCAGTGCAGTGGTTTTGAAAGGAGATATTCCTATCTATAAAGTCAAGAAATAAAAGCAAGGGTAGCAAAAATGTCTAGTCTTCTTTCTGTTCCTCTTTGATTGTGCAGGCTAATAGGGCCCTTTTGAATTACACTTACCAGTCAATTTATTAGGTATACGATTCAAGTACTAGTTTGCACCCCTTTTACCTTTAAAACCATCTCAGTTATTCTGGCATGGATACAATGATATCTTGGAAGCATTCTTTTGAAATTTTGGTTCATGTTGTTATTGTGGCATCTTGTAATTCTTCTGAATTGGCTGGCTACAGATCTAGGATTTGAATCTCCATTTCCACCATATCCCAAAGGTGCTCTTGGGGACTGAGATCCAGTGACTTTAGAGGCCACTATAGCACAGAAAACCCATTTCTGTGTTCCATTAATAAATCTGCTACTGTTTTTAATTTGTGACGTGGTGCATTGTCTTTCTGGAAGGACAACTATTTATAACTATGGTAGTCCCTATCAGCAGATAGGGACTGCCATAGTTTTAAATTGAGACATGTGATTCATCACCATACCTAGGTAGGCTGTAGCATTTAAACAATCTTATATTGATACAAAGGTCACAATGTATACCAAGAAAATATTTCTCACATATAATTACACCACCACCAGCAACCTTGAATGGTTGATACAAGGCCAGACAGATTGATACTTTAAAGTTAATTACAATTCTTGATCTATCCAAATATCAGAACAGAAAACAAGACCAGCTAACATTTTTTTAATCTTGTATTGCCCAATTTTTGTGATTCTTAACATATTATACCCTCATTTTCTTGTTCTTCTCTGACAGGAGTGGCACAGTGGTCTTCTGATGCTGTAGCTCATCTGCATCAAGGTTTGATGTGTTATAAATTGAGAGATGCTATTTTGTATATATCTGTTGTAAAGAATCTATCAGCTTCAACCAGTCTGACTATTCTCTTCTGACCACTTTCATCAACAAGGGAATTCAGTTCACAGAAATTCTGCTCATTGGAATTTATAATTTTTTTCTGACCATTCTCTGTAAATGCCAGAGTTGACAGTGCATGAAAATCCTAATAGATCAACAGTTTTTTAAATAGAGCTTTTCCTGTTTGGCACAAACAACCAGGACATGTTCAAAGTCACTGAAATTGCCTTCATTTCTCATATTAATGCATGAAATGATATTCAGCAAATTGCCATGATTAGGTTTAAATGCCTGTATCAAATTACTGCCACATCAGTGGCTGAGTAGAAATTTACATAAAAGAAAAATTGTTCATGTATGCTTAATTAAAGTGGACAGTGAGTGTATATCTCGGTATCTATTTTTAACTACAACTTTATATTTATTAAGAGTGAATTATAATTACAAAATAATACAAAAAAAAAAAAACTAGGGTATTCTTCATTTGCAGTCTTGTATCAGGCTTAGCTTTGTAAATATCAATCTATAGAAATGACAAAGAATTTTAGAAGAGTGATAATTTTTAAAATTTTTAAAAATCAAATATTTAAAAAAACAATTTAAAATTTTAAATGGTTTTGATTTGTTTCCTCTGAATTTTAAAATTATATAAACTGCAACTGCAATTGAATCATTTTAATTATTTCCCAGCATTTAAAAAAAAACTCAAAAAATTGCCTTGTATCCCAGTGGGAGGCTTACGGTCATTTCACATTGAAACACCAGTTCTTATCTGATCACCAAAATTCAGTAATGTCAAGCCTGGTCAGTACTTAGATGGGTGACCGTTTGGGCATACCATGTGCTGTAAGCTTGGATGTGCAGGTGGTGTAATGGATAAAAGCTTGGAATGAGAAATCAGAGAAGCATGTTCAAACTCCAGTCAGGTTGCATTCACTTACACACAAATACTCTTGAAAAAGGTGTGAATCCACTTATTTTTCTCCTAGCTATGGGTTAAATGGTAGAACTTGTATATGGAAATCATTGTTATCTCCAAAAAAATTGTTAATACAATATTCACTTGCAAAAAAAAAAAAAGTGAAAAAAAGGATTAATCTTGTAATCCAAAAACGTTTCATCTTTAATCTAAGCCTAAGGTTGGAATGCTGTAAAAAACAATCAATCTGGGAAAATTGGTAGTGTATCTGTATTAATAATGTTTAGAATTTTAGCAGGTAAAACCAAAAAAAATAGCCCTTAATCTGTCAACTAAGAAACATCCATATCAAAATAAAAAAATGGTTTAAATAAGAAATGAAGATTTCCTTTCTGCAACATTTCAAGGTGTGAATGTTCCTCATTAGCCATAGCGGAATTCAGCCTTATATTGGATCTGCCATTGTTTGAAGAGACAGATATTTATTAGTCATGGAACAATGTATTGGGTTGAACAGAAAAACAAGTAGAACAGAGATCAAGAAAATGGAATAAAAAGAATCAGTTGAAGTGTCAAACACTGTCTATCCCGTCTGCTATTCTTTCACTCTTTTAGACAATCTTAGAATGCCATTGGGGGAATGAATTGTTGGGGATTGTTGCAGTTATTGTGATGTGTAAATTTCTGCAGAGGGATTTGATGAAATGGTTTCAATCAAGTTTTCTATCAAGTGTCAACCTTTGCAGCCACTTTGCTGTCTACAAACTGACATTTGCCTTTTAAAAATTGACATTTTTTTTTTTTCTTTTCAGACTCTCCAATAAATTTACATTTTCAATTTGCTACCATGTTTGTTTTTTCTTGTTAATCTCTGCTGCTTCATGACTGGTGAATTTTAAATTTAGAACTCTCCATTTCCTTGACTGGCTGGGCCTTGTGCCACATCTAAGCTACACTCAATCATTGAGCACTTTGATTTGATGTAATGGTTAGCAAGCTTGTCTTGCTAGATCAATTACGACTGAGTAATGAGTTCAATCCTCACTGGGTGCTCCATACGACCTTGTGACATATCTAAGCTACACTTAAAAAATCATTGGTCATTTTGATGTAGTACAATGGTTAGCAAGTTTGTCTCGCTAGATCAGTTACAACTGAACATAAGTTTGATCTTCACTGTGTGCTCAACACTTTCAGCCTTGTGCCACATCTAAGCTATGTTTAGTAAATCACTGGGCACTTCAATGTGTATAAGCTTGTTAGATCAATTATCAATAGTTGTAATGTTTATCATTGACTATTAGTTCAGTATCATTGATTTCTTTCCCTATCATCATTCAAATATTTTTAACAACATTTGCCAATAATTTTATTCTGTTTTCCTTTCCTTATTTATTGATTGTAGTAACAACGTTTTTTTATGGACAAGGACATATTTTCAAATTTGTAGGAAAAGCATTTTCAGCCATTTTTTTTTTTTTTGTTCAGTAGTGGATGGCTTCCTTTATTATCCGTCTCTCAAATATTTATTTTTATCAACAACAATAATAAAAAAATGTTCTCGTATATTTAATGATAATTTTCTACACTTTTAATTCTTATTTATTGATTCATTTCTATTATTATCATTAAATTAATAGTAAGTCAAATTAATACATTTGATAACAAACTGTTCACTCCGACATCAAGTGTAAAATATATATGGTCATTCCTTGTCATGGTAAGGGGCTTACTTGTCTCAGCAATCCCAAGAGTGAAGCCATCTAGAATTTCTTGTAGAGCCACCCCATGATGGTAAGGTCAAGCAGGAAGGATCAGACTAAATGCAACCAACCCCACAAAGACCCCTAAGGCACAATAGGCAAAGAGCTATACAATCTCAATGGCTAAACCAGAGGAAGAGGGCAGCGCTAGTTGGGCTGGCAAAACCAAGACGGACCTTGACAGACCAAGCATCCAACAGCTTGATGCAACTAGGTTTGCCAGATGTTGCCTGTCTCAATCCCCTTTGAGCTGTGGGAGACACGCTTCTGGCCAAATTTAGGCCTCTCCATCACAAAGTTGTCCACTAAAATCAAATTAATGCAAGTGGCCTCGTCAAACTCTGTTTGATTCACAGTCATCTCCACCACCGCCACCAGGGTTGAGGGAAGGGAATAGGGAGAGAGGATGATGATCCTGACATGTATGGGTGCCAAAAACAAGTAGGATCAATACTCATTGGGTGTTCTACACTTTCAACCTTGTGCCACATCTAAGTTATGCTTATAAAATCATTTTGTGCATTTCAGCAGAGTGTGAGGGTTAGCAAGTTTGTCTTGCTATATCAATTACAACTGAAAAGTGAGTTTGATCCTCACTAGGTGCCCCGTACTTTCGGCCTTGAGCCATATCTAAGCTATGCTTAGAAAATCACCATTTCCTAAACTGGCTGACCTACCAAGGCCAAAGAGTCTAATCTTCTCTGCTATTTAGCCAATAGCTAGATCAAGATTGTTTCATGCCTTTACTTCATGATAACCTTGGAAAATACAAAACAGCCAATTACACAATCCATGCTGATAATGGTAAGTGTCCTCTATCTTCACTCAACTTTAGATGTTATCAGCTTCTGCTCATAAAGCAGAATGTTTTGTTTTTAAATTCTCTTCAAATTCTTCTCTTGATTCATCTGGAGTACCTTTGCCTGGCTTTCCATTTAGAACTGAGTTTCTATTGAGTGATATGCATATAACTCCATCAATGATTTCTGCTATCATCTCTAAACTGAACCCCCACAAAGCATCTGGAAATGATGGTACCTCTGCAATAGTCCTTAAGAAATATGCTCCTGAACTTCTCTCTAAACTCTACATTAAGCAGCTGCTGCTTGCTTGCCTGCTTGGGCATTTTTTTTTCTGTAGTCTCTATTTTTAAGAATTCAGGTGAACCATCTGATCTTTCTATCAACCAAATAACTACTAATGTGTTAATGTTTATTGTTGAAAGAGTCAATCAAATTATAGTTAAGAATGATGAAGCTCAGAATATTGCTTTAGATATAACACTAAGGTGTTTGACAAGTCTGCCGGTTTTCTTCGCAAGTTGAAAGGTTATGGTATATGTAGATGAATTTTTGATTTGATTCAAAGTTTCTTATATAATTGTGAAATGAAAGTCTTCTTGAATGGCCACTCTTCTAGATTTTTTTTCATTCACACTGGTGACCCCCAGAGCTCTATCCTTGGACCTATTTTGTTCCTAATTTTCATCAACAACCTTCCCCTTCTCGGTGTCATCAGTCAATTTGTTAACTATGCTGATGATACAACTATTTACTCCTGTCAATGTTAAATCTGATAGGTTCAATAAAGTCAGATTGACAGGTAATCTAAAAAATGACTTTAAATCTGTTTTAACTGGAGCAAGAAATGGCTTGTTAATTTTAATGCTTCCAAAACAATACTACTCTCTTTTAATCGATTTAAAGAACTTTTTTGCTTTCCATCAGCATGGCTGATGCTAACCTCCAGGGGCATCTCATTGGGCTTATATTTTCTACTGACATGCTGTGGAATGATTATATTAAATCAATTGCTCATTCTACTACTAGGAATGTTGGTTCACAATGTCATGCTTGACAATTTTTCTGGCTAGAAAATATCTTGCACGTTTATAAGTTCATCCATGCATTGAATATTGCTGCCAAATCTTGATAAAATTGAAAGAAGAATCTGTAATATTATTGGTCCTGGCCTGACATCATGGATTCAGTCACTTTCCTACCCTATCTTCCCTTTGACTTTTCCATAAATATTTTCATGATTGCAAACTTGAATCACCCCACAACAAAAATAAAGGCAAAAAGTGTGTTTAAATAAAAAATATATTTTTATTTTCCTGTTTTTTTTTTAAAACTAAATTTTTCTTAGTGTGTGTGAGTGCTAAATTTCTTACAGTCTTTGTTTATAGTTGTTTGTTAAGATGAAAAGAAATGTGATTTCTGTGTGTGCATGTGTATGAAAGAAGAGGCAAGGGAGTAAGTTTAGAGGAAAGTGTAAGTGTCATGTAGCTTGGTGATGAAAATAGGTAAATGAGTAAGGGAATTTCTTTTAAGCTGATATTTCCTGAATTTGTTGCTGTATATTGCTTCTTACTGATTTGACCATCTATAAATTTAGGTTAAATACACATCAGAAAGATCACAAACCAGGTTTTTTATATTGTTGGCGGAGATCTGACATGTTAAAAATGTTAAATATTTATTTTCAAAGCATTAATTTATTAACCTGAAGAATGTGCAATCCTCTGACCAAGAAACTATTTTTTTGTCATTTGGTAATTGACTGTCTTGGTGTTTATTTCCATCTTTGCTCCACAGTTTAGATAAGGTACCTTGACTTAATACAGTACTAGACTGACAGCTAGGTCTCATTTTACAGTTGATATTGCTTGATGTAAGTTCTATTCTAATAGTTTCTTTTCATGCACTTCTTGCTTGTGGAACTCTCTTTCACCTTGCTTTCCAGTCAAGTTTGATCTTCAAAAATTTAAATAAATGCAATATCAATTGTCATCTACTGTCTCCTTAAGATTGATTCTTTTATTGTCCTCTCTCCTGTTTTTTTGTCACATTCAGTAACCCCTTTGTGTCTTAGTGGCTTTATCACCTTGCTTGGGGTGAAATGATTAAAAAAAATAGCAGCTCTTATGCTAACCACACACAGTGATGTGCAGAGGTTTGGTGATACCCAGGCCCAACTCCTTGATTGTATGTCCCTAAGACACGAGTAGGATGAGTCTACTCTGGTCTCACATATCAAAACACATCTCCACATTCACACCAACTTGTGGGACTGTAGGGTGCTTGTACAACGAAATTAACTGAGACAATTTCAAAAACAAAAATTTTTGATGTAATGGAATAACTAGTCACCCCCATGAATGATTAAA